AAAAAAAAAACTACACTGAGATTCCATCTCACTCTAGTCAGAATGGCAATTATCAAGAATACAAGGAACAATAAATGTTGTCAAGGATGTGGAGAAAAGGGCATATTCATACATTGCTGGTGGGACTGCAAAATGGTACAGCCAATATGGAAAGCAGTATGGAGATACTTTGGAAAACCTAGAATGGAACCACCTTTTGACCCAGCTAACCTAYTTCTTGGTTTATACTCAAAGGACTTAAAAACAGCATACTATAGGGATGCAGCTACACCAATGTTTATAGCAGCACAATTCACAATAGCTAAGTTGTGGAACCAACCTAGATGCCCTTCAATAGATGAATGGATAAAGAATATGTGGTATATATACATAATGGAATGTTACTTGGTAACCTTTCAATTGCCTATGAGTTTTCTGGAATGCAGCAAAAGATAAAGAAAACTTCAATAGAAAGAGAACATTAACTTTGAAGGCTTGTGTCTGATGCTCTGACCCAATCACCCAATCACCAACTGCCAAAGATGAGGATGTGAACTGAAACCTACATCAGACCAGACCCCTAATGGGAAAATATGATTTTGTGCAGTATTTCCAAACCTGAGTGAAATGCAGCCCCTTTTGCTCACACACATTCCACCTAATTGTGTACCCTAATAAAAACTCAACTTTAATCTTGGTAGGCATCTCACTCAGATTGCCTGCATTCTGCTCTGAAAGTGTATATCTTTACCTTTCGCTTGCTAATAAAGTTCTTTCTCTGTTTGTTAAAAAAAAAGATAAAAGCTTTAAAAATATTTATTTACATAATCAAGTAACCATCAACATACAAATTAAGTATCCCCAATATTTATTTACATAATCAAGTAACCATCAACATACAAATTAAGTATCCCTTATCTGAAATTCTTGGGATCAGAAGTGTTTTGGAGTTTGGAATATTTGCATACACTTAAAGAGGATGGGCCGCCCAAGTTTAAATTAAAAATTAATTATGTTTCACATATACCTTATACMTAGAACCTGAAGGTAAATTCTAAAAATAGTTTTAAAAGAAGTTTGTGCATAAACCAAATTACATGGTATGGAATTTTCCACTGTGGCATCAAGTCAGCATTGATGTTTCAGGTTTTAAAGTATTTTGGATTTTGATTTTCAGAATATGGGTGCTCAACCTGAAACAGAGTAATCTTAGACAAGAGAAATTCTATCAAGATATCCCTGAAAAGTTAGAATCTACAAAAGAATACATTGATAAGCTTATTTTAATGGGTTGGAGGAAAGAATATATAGTACATTTGATAGAGCTGACTATACTTCCAAAATTATATAGGAATTTATATTTTACAATGTAGTGGAATGTTGTTTTTCTGTTTTTGTATTTTCTAATCTCCTTGGTTTCAACTATCACTGTTTGTTAACATATTTTAGCTRATGAAATTTATCAGTAGCCTTACTTATTACTAACAAAAATACAACTTTTCAAATTTCTGCCATTTATATTCATTGATGAATTTTGTATCAAATATTTAGTTCACATTTCTACTGAAGTATTTTTTTACCTTGTTAATTTGTAAGGTAAATTGTTAGTGCTAGGATCACTATATTATTTTCTATTTAAATTGGATTCACTTTGTGTTTCTTTCAAAGCAAAACCTTTAACTTCACTCAATTGTTTACTGACCATTTTAAAGTGCAATGGCACATTTTCTTTTATTAAAATAATTTATAATTTTCTTTTTTAAAACTGTTCATAATCCTTTAAATTTACTTTTAAACTAAAAGGTATCTAGTGATGTTTTAATATTAATCATTGCATAAGTACTTAATCCATATTTGCAAATAAAAATATTCATTCTGTACTTACAGCAGATAAAMCTGAGATTCTTGAATTTAGTCCAATATCCATGTTTTTCTTTGAGTAATTTGTATTTAAATACACATAATTTCGAAATGTTGCTGATAATAAGCCATCAGTCCATTCCATAGTATTAGGATCCAATTGTCCATATAGTTCATTAAGAGTGATGCACTTTGGATTTAAGACACAAAGATCTACTTTTCCTTTTTTTACTGAAATCTGGAATGAATCCTGTGTGGTTTAAAAATACATTATAGTACAATTTTTTGATTTGTGCAGTATTAACAAAATGATTTAGAAGGACTTTTCCATCAAAGAAAAAAATCTCTATGAACGTGGTGATTTAYAAGAAACAGTAAAAATTGATTAATTAAAATTATCCACAATCTATAAATCATTATTTTAAAAAGTTCTAAACATTACAAATAATTATCTGAGGTGTGTGTTGCAGGGTGAAAATCTCAATGTGCTGCATTTAGGAACACAATATTTAAGATGGGATGTGATATATCTGGAACCAGGGTTGATGTAGAAATGAGAGAGGGAGTAGGAAACTTTGTCAGAATAGTCACTCAAGTACATCTTATTTGCAACATTATAATCTGTCTGGGTGTTGCCTGAAGAACTGGTCTCTGTTTCATCTACGGTATTTCACCGTATAATCYTCATTACCACATAATTGTCACATCCTATTTTTTAGTCCCCCAAATTGGCTTATGACTTTTTTTTTGCATGATTTTCATGGAATAATTCTGTTCATCACACTGTTAAAAGATAAATAGCAGCAGTGTATTTACCAGTGGCATATGGATGCACATTTGCCTTCTCCTGCACTATGAAACTTAAGCTTGGAATTCTTGGTGTTGGTGCAATGTCAGTGTATTTCTGAAAGTTAATTGTGGCTTGTTTAGAGCACTGCAGTATTAAAGGTAAATAGATCCTATATGAGTGACACTAAGGACMGCAGTTCAGATAATTATAGTAGCTCAAAATTTTCAAGTGCAGAAGATTAAATTTTCTAAGTGAATACTTTTCAAAACTGTAGTAAAACAAAAAAAATGTTTTCAGTTCATTCTTTCTTGGTCATTATTATTTATTTATTTTCCAAACTTCTCACAATTGTACATACTACTTTTATACTAAAAAACTGTTTTTAATTATTACCTATAACATTGTTGTGAGGATTAAACGAGATAATTTAAACAAMAGTGTTTAGCACAGTACTGGACCCATATTTAGTACTCTGCAAATATGAGTTATGATTATTATTATTATTTCTGAGATAATGTACCTCTTTAATTATAATATTGCTTAAGAACTTATTGAAATCTGTTGAGAAAGGAAATTTAGAGGAAAGGATAAAAGATAAAGTACTATACAAATGATTTTTAAGCAGGGTAGCTTATACTAACAGAGAAAAAGATTCACACAACTCAGAACCTGACTTTCTAAAACTTTTAGAATACATTTAAATTAAGTAATTCAATTATATAATGTTTACTGGAGTCTATTTTTACTGGAGCTATTCTAAAAACTCAAGGATAACAATGTTTGTAAATCCATCAACATAGCTTTTACATTAACCAGTTAAAATATTTTAACTGAATATTTTAGCTGAAAATCAGTTAATAAATTCTAACAACAACAACAACAACAACAAAGTTTTGGGGAATAGAAATTTCCAAAGTATGATAAAAAATACTTGTCAGATGTCAAGAGTAAGCTTCATATTAAATGCATTCCTAATAAAGTAAGGAACATATACTATAGTTAACATTGTTTTGGTTAATCAATTCAGTAAAATAAGCATATAAGTAACATAAATATTAGAAAAGAGACAAAAAATTATTTTGATTTGATGATGATTTAATTGATACCAAAAAGAAACTTACAATCCATTTAGAAAAGTGACTAAGTACAAAACAAATATACAAAATATACAAAACAAATATACAATTCAATAGTTTTATTTCACACTAGTTTGTATCATTACAATGATACATAACTATCAAATTCCTAGCAATAAGTTTAATAAGTAATGAAAATATTTATGGGAAAAAATAAAATGTTAATATAAGTAGAAAATATGAACATAGGGGAAACATTTTATTTAGAGGAACATTTACCTTTGAATAAGATTCCCTTTGCTTAATTGATAACATGTCTACAATTGGTAATAGTATTAATGCTTTTTCTAAAATTCTTCTGACTGTTGTTTTTCCTCCACCTGTTGGGCCCACTAACATCACACCAACGCAAGCCTAAAACAAAATTAACATTAATAAATAATTTTAAGTTTATTTTAAAAAATCTGCTTATATCCGCAGACTCTTCCTTCAAATTGCTGTTCAATCCATTATAATCTGACTTCTGCTTTTACTTAGATAGGCTAATGCTAAAAGCATCAGGAGTCTTCTGCTCTTGCATGTGTCCTATCTTACTCTGCACTATATGAGGACGAAGCAAGAGTGAGGCCATCTACAAGCCAGGATGAGGATCTTACCATACATGGAATCTGCCAGTACCTTGATATTGAGCTACCCAGCCCCCATAACTGTAAGAAATAAATGTTGTTTAAGCTACCCATTCTATAGATTTTTGTCATAGCAACCTGAGATGACTAAAACATTTGGTTGTCACCATGTCTTCTGGAAGATTATAATAGCATTAAGGAAATTATTATTTTTTAAAATAATGACATAAATATACATTAAAATTCAAATATGGATAAAGATAGAATATATATTCACTAACTTTACAGTCTCTGTAACATCACGGAGTTCTTGTAATTCTCTGATCAAACAGTCCTGGATGCTACATTTGGCAAGGTGAGAATGGTCCMAAAAGCCTTTCTTATCAAATGGAAATTGAATATTCAAGAACACAGCTAGCCTTGTTCTAGTGAATCATGAAAATGTGGCAACTATCTCCCTGGGGTAAACTTCATCCCCCACTTGACTTTTTAGAATAACACTGTTGGTTCAATGAGATCTTGATTCATAAAGATTCCCTGGATAAAGTGCCTGGGTCTGGTTTACTGATGGTTCAGCTAAACCGAACCCTTAGGCATCTCACTGGTCAGCCTCAGAGCCAGAAGATTTGTTCACTTTACTTGGTGGACACAACTCTGACTCTTGGGTTTTACCAATGGCTTAGATATTTGGTCTGCCACTTGAAAAAAATTTCAGTCTAGAAGATTAAACATGCCCCCCCACCCCCTGCTTGAGGCTGTGAAGTGTGGAAATAAATGATGACTGATGACCAACTAATCTGATTCACTCATGGGCCCATGGTTCATTTTTGATGATATTGCCCASAACCAACCTGCTAATTGAGCCTACCCTGTCCAGATTGCCATAACCTCTATGTGAATCCAACATCTGAACATTGCAAGTGAACATTCTAAAATTTTCACCTTAAAACAACACCATCATAATAAAGAACTGTGTGTTTCTGATGCAGAAGCTACTACCACACTTAATGACTCTTGCCAAAAGTTGATATGGGTGGGAAGCCACAATGAATAGGGCATGAACTCAAGAGTCCTGGCACATTGACTACATTAGATCTCTATTCCCCAAAGGGCTATTGGTGATGTCTCACTAATGTTGAAATTATTTAAGGTATGGGGTTGATATTCCTATCTAATCAGCAGACTCTGGCCATATCATTGTTTCTTGAAACTAATTTATATTACATGTGTGGATTTCTGGACCATTTGCAATCTGACAATGGAGTACTTTTTATCACAAAAGTCACTAAACAATGGGCAAATGATCAAGGGATTTGATGGACCTTTCACACTCCCTAAAGTCCACAAGCATCTGGTATTATTAAGTATTGGAACAAAAAATTTACTCGGTTTGATTCTATCTCCCCCACATTCTCTTTGCCTGTATATCTTACTAAAGAAAAGAAGTTCAATCACTGAATGTAAGTGTCTTCAGGAAAAGATCATGTCCTTTCATCTGCTTCTTGAGTAATGATTAATATAAAAGATATGGGGAATTATATAGACATATTTTGAAAAGTTGGGATTCAGTCCTGAAAATTCCTGGGCATGGTGCTTCTTTCTTCTCCCTAATGACAACACCATGACACTCTAGTTGATACATATTCCATGTGATAGGATGATAAAAATGAAGACTAGAAGGGTCAAATTTAATCCTGTTTCAACTATCTAGATTCTCTTAGATTGATATGGTATTAGATCACAAGGATAATGACAACTTGACTGAGTACATTACCAATGTAAATTTTATGAAAATATCCCTCTTCCTCTTGCATATAATCCTTCAAAATGAGAGGTCTGGGTGCAAGCAGAGGATGCTTGGAAAAYTACTATGGTTAAAATTACTGAAATGGGATACACCAGTGTTGTGGTAGTACAGGAACAGAAAAAAAAAAAAACCTAGAAGAAATGCCTCAGATTCTGGGGGGATCAGAGGGCAAGAAGGGATATAGAATATCTTTTGTCTTTCATATGTGTCTTTCTAACCTTCTTCAAAAAGGCAAAAGCCCTGATGGGACTATCTTTAATTCAACTGACAGGATTTAATTATTATTCTGCTTAACTTTACTGGAGAGTCTATCAGAAATAGCAGGGATGGGCTCAGCTCTTGCATCTCCTGAGCAAAACTCTGTCAATACCTCCAGATGTCTTGRATGTCTTTCTCATCTCTGTTCCTAGTGCTAGATCATTCCATGGAATGATAAATGACATGCTGACGGCATGGCAAACTGACTGTCCACCCAGTCACTTCAAAAATAAGAACCAGATTTAATTATTAGAGTTGAATTGAGAACCCATGTTGGAGGACAGTCAACCTGTATCATTCCTCACCTTGAAGTGCTATAGGTTCCACTTAGGAAACCCAGTAACTGTAAAAACCCACTTTCCTTCTGAGTGAAACATGTGCACCCTTAGTGTTGCATTTCTCCCATAAAAGTCAGATATTAATCTGACTCCTCCTTAAAAACAATGTAACTACAATTTAAGGGTAGTTATGAATGGCAAGCATCCAGGATTTAAGAGAATAGCACCTTGACCTTGTAAGGCATTCAGATCAGCCTCAATTCACTGGCCACTATTGTTATGAATGATAAAATTGCACTAGACACTTTCTCCTTGTGGGTAAAGGCAAAAATCTGTGCAGTTGACAATAAATATTGCTAAGTATGGATCAATGCTTCAGAAATCAACAGGCATGGTCAATACAGAAACTTAAGGAGAAATTCATCTGACTTTCTAAGGTAGATTCTGATGGTTTATGGAATATGTTCAACTGTTTGGGCTTGAGACCTTGGATAGGAATGATTGAGATCAATACTTTAGGTTGGCCTTATCCTGCTATTTGGTATCCTATTAACAGAARCCTTAATTTTGTCTGGTATGAGCTAAAATGAATATACTTTTGGTCCTAGTTCCTGATRGTAAGATTAATCAGAGTGGTCAACAGAATAGTGTACTCATGAGGAAATTTGATCAGAAGCCAAGTGGATGTATAAATGAGGGGCAGATGTTGTTGGGAGGCAATGCTTTAGGTGTTTCTGAAAGATTTCTAAATATATTCTGAGCAGAAGCATTGGCAGTTTTATCCAGAATTTATCTTTTCAAAAATATTTGTATACCAAACAGTGTCTCCTATCAGGATACAGGATTTATTTTTGTGTGTGTGTGTGTATGCTAGAAATTAAACCCATGTATTCTACCACTGAGCTACATTATTACATGAGGGCAAATTTATTTGCTACCCAGAATTTAAAAATAATGTCTCATTCAAGGGACAAAGTTTGGGCCTTTTTTGCCCTTAGTACCCTTATAAAATTGGGGGGTTCCTAAGCTCAGGGGTCTCCTGTAACCCAACTTACCACATGTGCAGGTATGACCTACCTGCAGGTATGACTTACTGTGGGAAGTAAGTCTTAAGGAACCGGCATAGAAGATATTTTTGTGGCTACTGCTATTGTTGTGTGTTTTGTCTCTGACCAAGGATTCTACTCTCTTTTGCCAATATGAACCAGTGGCAGGTTAACTTGACAAGCTACATAAAGTCTTGACTAAATATGCATATGGAGGAAAAGATRTAATATCACAAGTTGAAAACTCTCGCCATAACTATTAGTTAAATTCTACCTCAAAATCTGAATAGGATATTTTGATAGAAGTCCACAGACTGGTTTTAAGAACTCTTAAGAAAGAGAAAAGGTCGAAATTTCGAAGAAAGAAAACTTYAAAAATAACAAAGGTGGGAAATTAGTTACCACCAGATATGAAAAACTATAATATTTAAGCTATTAAACAGTTATGATATTTAAGACTATGTGGTATAGGGATAGAAACAGAGAAATAGACCAAAGAACAAAATATAGAAAAAAGCAATAAAGAAAACCCTATTAGACATGAAGACTTGATATACTATAGAAGCAGCAAATCAGTGAGGAAAACTCTTGGGAAAGTTGATTATCCATTTTTGGATCCTTATCTGATGTCTTTAAGAAAAATAAATTTTGAAAAATAAATAAATATAAAGAAAGAAAAATAAATTTTGTACAATTTAAAAATGGAAAATACAAATAACTTAAAACTTTTAGAAAAAAATTACAGAAAATATATTTCCAAAAATAGTGTTAAAAAATTTCTAAAAATAGGATATGAAAAATGCAGATCATAAAGAAAAAGAGTGGTGGACCTTATTGCATTAAAAATGTCTTCTTATAAGTCAACACCATAGACAATTCAGAAAAGCCAATTATTTAARAGAATGTGTTTGCAGTGCATATAACCATAGAATTATGATATAAAAACATGTGATGAGGGGCTGGAGTTGTTGCTCAGTAGTGCAGTGCTTGCCTCACATGTGTGAGACACTTGGTTCAATTCTTAGCACCGAATATAAATAAATGAATAAAATAAAGGCCCGTCAACACTAAAAAAATATTTTTTAAAAATGTGTGATGAAAAAAATCTATGTTTATTAAGAAAAAGATGAACAACCCAATTGAAAAATAAGTACGTTACATAATCTGAAAAGTCAGGGCTAAAAAACATTGAAAGGAWGTACAGTTTTAACTAGTAATCAGAGATAGGTACATTCTACTGTTTTTGCAAATAGTTCATTCATGGATGATTCAAAGAAGGTATAGCAATGGGATTTAGAATATTTAACACCATATTTGTAGGGTTTTTACAAAAACTTGTTAAGGGGATAAAAGTGAAAAGATTAATTTGTTGAGAGTTATGATCAGGGGTCAAATGATAAAGTCTAAGGGGACAGTTAATCAATGCCCCTCAGTTTTAAGAATATTATAATAGCCCTCTTTCGTTATAACTGTTGTTATTTTCCTCCTTGACTGTACCTATTAAAATCCAGGCAAAATTTACCAAATGCTATTTTGCACTTACCTGAAGTTGATTATAAAACTGAACGATCTTCTCTTTCTGAGGTGACCAGTGTTGTAAGCCTAATTGTTGTGTTGCAATATATATCACTTTCTAAAAGGAAATAAATACATAAATTTAAAAGCATTGTAAATTAAACCAATCACCATTTGTTTGTTTGTTTTTGGCAGTGCTGGGGATTGAACCCAGGAAGTCTTGCACATACAAGGTAAGTGCTCTACCACTAAGCTATAACCTTAGCCCATACCCTTACATTTTAATTCTCTGATATTTCTCTTAACTAGTTACCAATTACTATAAGACAATAGTTACAAATTTTTTCTAGTTTAAAAACCTCTGACTCTGAGAATAATTAAAGCTACTATTATTCTTTCTAGAAAAAAATATAATACACACAAAATTTCATGTTCAGGAGACATCTGGTAGCAAATTCATAGAACCTCTCCCAACTTAAGAAGCCAGATTTTAAGATATATTTAAGGACTAGCAATTACTAGAGTATAGCTGTTTATTCTACACTAAAAGCAAATGTAAAAGGTTCTATACCTTTTTATAATTTTAATTACATTTAGATAGTTTATCAATTTCCTAATAATTATTTTAATGTTTCAAAGTTAAGAATATTCTAAGACAGCAAATAAAATTGATAGGATTGAAAAGATATGGGGCTGGGAATGTGGCTCGAGCGGTAGCGTGCTCTCCTGGCRTGCATGCGGCCCGGGTTTGATCCTCAGCACCACATACAAACAAAGATATTGTGTCCGCCGAAAAACTAAAAAATAAAATATTAAAAATTCTCTCTCTCTCTCTCTCAAAAAAAAAAGAAAAGAAAAGAAAAAAAGAAAAAGACAAGGCACCATGTGACTGATTGTTTATTAAAATACTCCAAGGAGTAGTTGTGACTTGGAAAGATACTTAATATTCTAGTAAAGAATTATAAGGGGAACCATGCTTCCTACTAAAGGAGGGTTTATTTCAGTGTGGATACAACTGGTAACTATACCTACAGAAAAAAAGTGTATTTCTCCTTTCTTTTGCACTGAGCTCTTCCACTTCATTGCTCATTCCTCACATCCTTACAACTAGACAAAACAAAGCAGCTGAAGGAAATTCAGCAGGACTTTGCAAWGGAGAAAAAGGCACCTCCTATGGCAAGACCAGCTGGAGGTAGGCAATCAGCTGAGAGGAGTTGYTAAAGAGCAACCGCTTTTAAATAGAGTTGACAAGATCACTTACTTGAAGGCCTGAATTTTGGGCAGTGTTAGGCATAAAGTTTATGAATTCTCTGCTGTTAATAATACCAGCCACACAGATGTGGAATAAAAATTGCTTGGATGCACAGTAGTTCAACATAATGGGGAAAATCAAGGACATATTCAGACAAGTCATTCTCTTGATTAAATATTTCAATAAATTCTTAGGAAAGTTTTGAAATAAAATCATAATCTTATTTTAAAGTATTCAAAGCTATATATGTTGTTCCTTGGAGTTAACTGGATGGCCAACTACACACAGCTTTAATTTGATGACATGGTTTCAGTAATTCTCAGTTAATCTTTTGGTTACTCTGAGTTAATGTCTTCTATATTTGGACAGTGTTAGAGACAGATGCAAATAAATTAGATAGATCACAATTCCCTATTACACAAGATTTACATTCTTGCATCTCAAATAGTATAAATAGCAGGCTTACGGTATATTTCTTTAGTAAGATATGTTCTTATGCAGAATATACAGCCTATACATAGCTGTCATTGTGTAAACCATCAAAACTACAACATTAAAGAGAAGATTGGTTTGGATATGAAGTGTCCGMAAAAGCTCCTATGTTAATGCAGAAATGCTTGGAGGTGAAATAATTGGATTATGAGAGCTATAACTTAATCAGTCCATCCTAATTTGAGTGGACTGACTGGGTGGTAACTGTGGGCAGGTGGGGTAAACCTAGAGGAGGCGGGTCACTGGGGATGTGCCCTGGAAGAGTTTATCTTTCCTCTGGCCTCTACCCTCTTTACTTCCTGGCCACCACCAGTCAGATGGGCCCAGAGTATTGAATTCRGCCCACCATGATCTAAATCTCTGAAACCAGGAGCTCAAATAAATTTATCCTCCTCTAAGTTATTCTTGTCAGGTGTTTTGGTCACAGCAATTAAAAGCCGACTAATACCCGTATATAAAGAGGCTCAAAAGTAAAGTCATTGGGCTTCAGTTGTAGCTCACTGGCAGAGCGCTTGTCTAGCTTGTGTGAGGCACTGGGTTTGATCCTTAGCATCACATTAAAAATAAAATAAAATAAAGGTATTGTGTCCATCTACAACTTAAAAAATGTAAAGTCATTAATATACATGCAAGGATGCTATTAGACAGGTAATGCTATTTATAAAGCTGTGACTTGAAAAATGTTAAAGTTAACCTGGAAAGTGCCTAAAACTTATAACTAGAGGAAAAAAAGGGGATTTTATAGGTTTTGAAAGATAGGAGGATGCTCATGTAAAACAGAGAAAAGCTCATCAACTGACATTTCTCTTCTTTTTCTCCTATTAAAATAAAACCCTCAAAATGTAAATGTAAATGAAAATCTTCAAAACTTTGGTAATAGTTGAGAGACAAATATTCACTGTGTTTCTCCTGGAAACCTCACAAGCAAAAAGGAAAAAAAAAACACAGATTGAATTTTATTAGAATAAGGAAATGAAGAAAACCTACAAAATACAAAACACATGAAAATACCAAGAAAACAGCTAAACTTAGATAGATTAGTGCTTGAACATGCAAACTGTTGGATCAGAAAAGTCAAACTCATTAAATCATGTGGAACAAAAGATCACACATTATATTGCTCTTGTTAATTCAGAGAACTAAAAAATAAAATATTGCATGTTAAAAAGACTGAGTACCCAAACTCATAACTACAGAAATTGTAAATATCAAAGACAAAGTGAAAAATTTTAAAGTATGTGTAGAGAGAATACAGAGGAACAAATATTGAGGTGACACTGACTGAAGAGTGACCTTAGAACAAAAAGAAAGAAAAAAAAAAAAAGGAACATCAACAACAAAAAAAAACAACTACTGGAGAGCATTGCTCACTGAGGTAAGTGACTGTGGGAAAATGCTGAAGTGCACACAACTAGCACAGAATTTGGCACAGTGTGAAGGGATAATGAGAACACAGCTGTTTGGGGATCTGCAAACAGGCTGGTTTGAGAGAAATTCTCAACATATGCTTGTAGTACTATACCAGGGAGTGCCTTGAGAGGTCGTATCTGAGCTTTCTTCTCTTTCCCCAGGGACCCAGAGCAGGCATTGCTGCACTGTCTTAGCTGCTGACTATCATTACCCAGTTTGACCCTGGAGGAATGTAACTGAAACAATCCTGCTGAAAAATCTGTATAATGAATGGATGACCAGTTAATGACACAGAAGAAAATGGAACTCACTTCCCCATTAAGCTGGTGGTTTGGTAACCTGTTGAAGAACAGGGGACTGAGCAGGCACATGGGAACTGGGTCTCAGAGTGTCAGAGTTGTGGTGGTGGATTGTAGAAGGCCTGCCTGTGCCTCCTGACCCAGTGCAGAGTTATTCTGACTTCCGAATGGCTTTCACAAAGGGTTCTGGAGACTCAGATGTGCTGTAATACTCAGCATTAGCTTAGCCCTGGGTGTGTGTTGAGAAACTCTCCTTGAATGCATTTCTGCTGGGGGAACCTTGACAAATATTTAAACAAAACAGRAGATATAAAAGCTCCTGCTCACAACCCAGCCCTAAGAAGGCATGGTTGGGACTGGAGGCTGAAGACATGATCCTGCACATCTACCCCTATAGTTTCAGCAGAGAGAAAACAACACAAAGATTGAGGCKACTGCACCTACAAGGGACCTTTATATAGGTTGTTCCCATGCCTTTTCAGACGGTACACTGCTGATAAGATTGGAGGGATAATCACAGAGGGCATCTTCATATTTTCTGCTGTCTATAACACACAACCGGAACTGCCGGAGATTCAACTACAGGGAAAATGTGACCCTCAGGTTCTGACCCAGTATGATCTATGTCAAAACCTCCTAATCACAGCCAAGAAGTAACAAGGAAACTAGTACAAAGTCCAGATGGAATTAAACACAACACTATACAACCAAATGACACCCCAGGACACATAATCAAGAGACAGCTGTTCCTTAAGAGGGCCCACACATAAAATTGGAAGAGAGATCCATCCCAGCAGASATACAAATCTCAACGTAGAAACATAAGAAATGTGAAAAAAACAAAGCAACATGACTCTCTCAAAATTTATATTTCTCTAGTAACTGACTTCAAAGATATTGAAATGGATTAAAAACCAAAGAATTCAAAAGAATGATGTTAAAAATGGTCAAGGGCTGGGTGTGGTGGCACACACCTGTAATCCCAGCAATTCATAAATCTGAGTCTGACAAACCCAAAGCCAATATCATACTAAATGGGGGAAAACTGAAAGCATTTCCTGTAAAATCAGGAACAAGATAGGAGTGCCCAYTCTTACCACTCTTTTTCAATATAGTAATGGAAACTTTGGCCAGAATAATCAGGCAAGAGGGAGAGAAGGGATACAAATAGGAAATGATGAAGTCAAATTATTCCTGTCTGCAGATGACATGATTCTACACCTAAGAAATCCTAAAGAATCTACCAAGAAATTCTTAGAACTGATAAACAAATTCATCAAAGTATCAGGAATTCAAAAATCAACAAACAAGTTAGTAGCTCTTTATACACCAATAATGAACTTGCTGAGAGAGAATCAGAAAATGAACAAACAAGCAAACAACAACAATAACGAAACACCTAGGAGTAAGCCTAATMAAGGAGATAAGACCTGTACAATGAAAATTATAAAACACTTAAGAAAAAAATTGAAAACAACACCAGAATATGGAAAGCCCTCCCATGTTTCTGGATTTAGAGAATTAATATTGTTAAAATGGTCATACTGCCAAAAGTGAGTTATAGATTCAATGCAATTCCCACAAAAATACCAAAGACATTCTTTACAGTACTAGATGAAGCAATCTGAGAATTCACACAGAAGCACAGAAGACCCTAAATAGCCAAAGTAATCCTGAGCAAAAAGAACAATGCTGGAGGCATCACAATACCTAATTTTAAAACATACTAAAGAACCATTGTAACAAAACACCAGAAACATGCAACCATGGAATAGAGCAGAAATGAACCCAAACATCTATGGCTATCGGATTCTCAAAAAAGTAGCCAAAAACATGCTGAATAAATGATGGCCTTTTTAACAAATTGTGCTGGGAAAAATACCTGTAGAAAACAAATTGGATCCCTCTCTCTCAATCTGTACAAAAATAAATTCAAAATGGATCAAAGACCTTAAAATTATACCAAGACCTTTGAAACTACTAGAGAAAATGTAGGGAAAATTGGTACAGGCAATGTTTTCCCGAATAGGACTCAAATAGCTCAAGAAACAACAGCAAGAATTGACAAATATAATGCCCTCAACTAAAAAGACTCCTTTACAGAAAAAAAAATGAACAGACTAAAGAAACAGCCTACAAAATGGGAGAAAATCTTTGCCAGCTATTCATCTAAACAGGATTAATATCCAGAATATATAAAGAACTAAAATAATTTAACACCAGAAGAGCAARTAATCCAACCAATAAATATACAAAATGAGCTGAACAGACACTTCTTGAGAGTAGTACAAATGGCCAATAAGTATATGTAAAATGTTCAACATCATTAGCCATCAAAGAAATTCAAATCAAAACTATTTTGCAATTCCATCTCACACCCAGTCAGAAAAAGAAACACACACTGTTTGTGGTAATATGAATTAGTACAGTTATTTTTCMTCAAGAAACTAAAAATAGAACTACCATATGATCCACTCCTGAACAAATCCAGCAAAGCATCACACCCATATTTATTGAAGTACTATTCATAATAACCAAGTTATGGAATCAGCTTAGATACCCATCAATGAATGAATGGATAAAGAAAATGTGATATATATATATATATATATATACATACACACACACACAGTGCAATACTATTCAGACATAAAGAAGAATAAAATCATGTCATTTGTAGGTAAATGGCTGGAACTGTTACACAAAATAAGCCAGTCTCAGAAAGATAAGTTCCACATGTTTTCTCTCATATGTGGAAGCTGGAAAAAGAATACAAAATTTTAAAATGACATGAAAGTACAATAGGGACTACTAGGGTAGGGGGACAGGATAAGGGAAGAAAGAGGACAAGAGAAGGTGGTAGGGAGAGAGGATATGATCARAGCATATTATATGCATATGTAGAACAATATATAATGTGCAACTTAATTCATTACAATTTCTGCTTTTGAATTATTTCTATCAAGTCTAATTTTCCCTGACTCAATCTTTGTTTTTTTTTTCTTTTTTAAGTTCCTCATTGTGCTCAAAAATAATATTTATTCTGTACTTTTTGGGTAAAAAGTTTTACAAATATCCTGCCAATTATATTTTTTTAAAAAGAATAATTATGAAACTGTTTAAATCACATTTTCTAAAGTAAATTTAAGAAACAACATCCCCCCAAATAGAGTCTGAGGGAAAGGAATAAATATGCTTAATGGCCTGAAACTTGTTAAAAGGTTGGAAAGCAGAAAACAGGGAGAAGTTTGTGGTTGAAAGAACAGGGAGGAGAGGGGAAATGGAAGGAAGGACAGAATATATTCAAATGACACCCTGGTGCAGCCAGATTGTAAAAGCTATTATAAGTCAAAATACTTTATTTTAATTTTGTACTGAAAGCAACAACGATCCACCCTGGCCTTTTTAATTTCACCAAACATATGTTTTAGGGATGCAAATCTGGTCGCATTATGGAAACATACTAGAATTCAGGGAGTGGTAGGATGCTATACAATAGTATTAGAAACAAAAACACTGATATCCTACCAAACCAAGACAATAGCTATGAGACTAAATAAGTAAAAGAAACAATAAAGGGCTCTATAATTATAACATAATTTTAATGATTGCAAAATAACTTTTTCATAATTCTGAACTAATTTGATTTTCTTTTTCTTTTGGTACCAGAGAATGAATCCAGGGGTGCTTAACAACTAAGCAACATCCCCAGATCTTTTTATTTTTTATTTTTTAGAGACAGGTTCTCACTAAGTTGCTTACAACCTTGCTACGTTGCTAAGGCTGGCTTTGAACTTGGRATCCTTCTGCCTCAGCCTCCTGAGCTGCTGGGATTATAGATCTGTGCAACTGCACCTGACTCTAAATTGATTTTCAAAATACCTCTTCAAAGTAGGAAGAACCAACACAACATCAACATTTGAAAGATGAGAAAATTAAGAATAAAAAATGTAACAGTTCTCCTTGTCTAAACAGTTACATTTAGTCTAAAGTTTCTTTTCCCCAAAAGGATATGCATGTCTCCATTTTTCTCTCCCCTATTATAATATAAATAGAGCATTTCAGGAAGAACATAGTATATTTAATCCACACTTAGTATAAATTGATATTCCACAACCAAATAATCTGTGATGATTTTCAAAGATCTTATTACCTCCAAGGCAAGTTGATTTACTTTTGAAACAATCACTCCAGGAAAAAAATCTCCTATAATCATTTCAAAAAGTGCATCATCTTCAGGAATAAATTTTGATGAACTAGATTCTCTTATGGCCTCTATAACAATTGTAGTTTCATCTACTTCAGAAGGATTATCACTGGTATCACTTGAATGGTTGAAGAAAAACATAAAGGACAAGTTAGCAAGTTTGCTGACATTACATTGTCGTTTTTAGAAGTGGCTGTCCCAATAACCTTTCTCCCTTTGCCTCACTACTAGAAGCCATGTAGTTTGGGTGGGATTAATCAGGTCCCCAGTTCCAGGGAGCTGGTCTAGAATAGTAAGATTAAAGCCATTCTTGAGTCACTGATTCACRGATGGGCACGAGCAGTAATGGTTTTTGGTTGTTAATAACAAAATTAATTTAGTCTAATATGAAGTGAAAAGGTTGATTTATTAAAAATCTCTWGTACTAGAATCAGGCTATCAGGCTATGCAGCTGGGAACAATGGCCAAAATTATGCTATAAGACTTGTGAAGAAATGATTGCCACCATTAACAGATCCAGCCTGCAGTGCCTGTCCCACCAATTCATCATTGATGTTGGCACTAGAATGGCTCACTGCCTCTGTTATTGCTGGTAACTGGCTGTCGATACTGTCACTGTTGTCACCCTTATTGGAATGTACTATTTTTATTTTTACTAGCTTCATGTTCAAACCATGTGATATCTGTGTCTAATTTGCCAAGGATGAAGGACAAAACCATACCTGGGAGAGCGTATGGAGAATCAAGTTATGTGGCATTACAAATATTCGCTTAAGGAACATAAATTCAGCTCTAGTCTGAACATTCAAGAGGAGAAAGAAATGATCTGTCCATTCAGAGTGAAGTTCAGGACTTCAGTCCAATGGTATGGGTATATGAGATACCCCAAGCGCAGCCAGTCTGAAGTTCCATCAGTAAGWACATGGAGGACAGCAGTGTTAAGAATATCTCAGGTATTAAACTGAAATCCTAATCCAAGTAATCCTATCCTGGTCCACCTCTGAATTTTCTAATTAGATGAAGCAACAAATTGCCTCTTCTGTTTGAGTCTTCTGTTATTTTTAACAAAAGTGGGTTCATAAAAAACAGTATTTTTATACATTAAACATTTCAGTATATATTAAACTAGTAATCAAAATGACAATAAGTAACTACAGGAGGTTTGAAACATTTTAGAGTTTTCTCTATGTAAATGTCCCTTCCGTTCTTTATTTATTAACTGTCTGAAAGTTTCTATCAGGATTGTGGTGATAGTTGATAATTTCTTCCTCTTCCTCTTCCTCCTTTTACTCCTCTTCTTCCTCTTTTTTTTTTCAGTGCTGTGGATTGAACCCAGGGCCTTGCATATGCTAGGAAAGTGCTTATACCTCTGAGTTACACTCCCAGCATGGTGAAAGTTTTTGTACTGTTTTATTTTGTATTTAGGTCTGTGATTCATAATAAAAAAATAGCTAACATTTATTGAGTACTCTTTTGCAGGAATTTTGCTTGATATTCATAAAAATTAACATGGCCAGTGTTATACAACTGCTGAGTGTTGGACCTGGAATTTACTGAGGTCTGACTTTGAAGGCCAAGTTCAACTATTACAATGGAAACCTCATATTGGCTAGAACCCATGTTAGTCATTTATGCTCCCCTGAGAAGAAAGCTCTCATTCTTTATTCTGAATGTGTTTTGGTAGAGAAAGGACAAAAGTCCATCTGACGTTAAAGGACCACATCAGAGGGAAGGAGATCCAGACTTCCCAGCTGATATCCTAGGGACCAACCTTGACCTTTTCATATTTTTTCCCAAGACAGATCTTCCTTAATTTTAAAAGAAAATGAAAAAAAAATCAGGGAGTCCAGTGTCTTTTTGGGGCACAAATGCTAAATACATACATGGCTTTTATAAATATAATATTGTTGCAATATGCTGTTGTCCAGTATAAAGGCAACTCTTCACTAAAAGAGTAACTTTGAAGGTGACATATGATATTGTTTTAATTTAAGAATAAACAATGAAAGTTTTAAATGAATTTTTAGTTTACTAGCAATTTTTATTTGTTTTTAGATATACATGACAGTAGAGTGCATTTTGACATRTTATACATACATGGGGTTCAAACCATTACAATTCAAATATGAGCATAGGAAAGTTATGTTGAATTCATTCTACTATTTTTCCTATTTCTATCCCCACTCTCTTCCCTTCATTTCTCTTTGTCTAATCCAATGAACTTCTATACTTCCCCTCCTTATMTTCCCTTGTTATGGGTTAGCATCCCCATATTAGAGAGTACATTTGGTCTTTAGTGTTTGGGGACTGGCTTATTTCACTTAACATCATATTCTCCATTCCATCCATTTACCAGCAAATGCCATAATTTCATTCTCCTTTATAATTGAATAATATTCCATTGTGTGTATATATACAACATTCTCTTTATCTATTCATCTGTTGATGGGCGCTTAGGCTGGTTCCATAGCTTGGCTATTGTGAATTGAGCTTCTCTGAACATTGATGTGGCTGCATCACTGTAGTATGCTGATTTTAAGTCCTTTGAGTATAAGCTGAGGAGTGGGATAATTGGGTCAAATGATGGTTCCATTCCAAGTTTTCTGAGGAATCTCCATACTGCTTTCCAAATTGCAGTCCCACCAGCAATTTGTGAGCGTGCCCTTTTCCCCACATCCTCACCAACATTTACTGTTCCTTGTATTCTTGACAATTGCCATTCTGACTGGAGTGAGATGGAATCTCAGTGTAGTTTTAATTTGCATTTCTCTAATTGCTAGAGATGTTGAACATTTTTTCATATATCTCTTGACCATTCTTATTTCTGCTTCTGTGAAGTGACTACTCAGTTTCTTTGCCCATTTATTGATTGGGTTATTTGTTTTTTGGTGTTAAGTTTTTGTATTCTTTGTATATCCTGGAGATTAATGTTCTATCTGAGGTGCAGGTGGCAAAGATTTTCTCCCACTCTGTAGGCTCTCTGTTCATGTTCTTGATTGTTTCCTTTGTTGTGAAGAAGCTTTTTAGTTTGATACCATTCCATTTATTGATTCTTGATTTACTTCTTGTGCTTTAGGAGTCTTATTGAGTTAGTCTGTTCCTGAGTGGATCTGAARTGTGGGCCTACTTTATCTTCTAGTATGCACAAGGTCTGTGGTATGATGCCAAAGTCCTTGATCCACTTCAAGTTGAGTTTTGTGCAGGGTGAGAGATAGGGGTTCAATTTCAATCTACTACGTATGGATTTCCAGTTTTCCCAGCACCATTTGTTGAAGAGGCTATCTTTTTTCCAATGTATATTTATGGCATCTTTGTCTAGTATGAGATAACTGTATTTATGTGGGTATATCTCTATATCTTCTATTCTAATCCATTGATCTTCAATTCTACTTTTGTGCCAACTGTGCCATTTTTGTTACTATAGCTCTGTAGTATAATTTAAGATCTGGTATTGTGATGCCTCTTGCATTATTTTCCTCACTAAAAATTGCTTTGGCTATTCTGGGTCTCTTATTTTTCCAAATGAATTTCATGATTGCTTTTTCTATAAGGAATGACATTGAAATTTTAATGGGAATTGCATTAAATCTGTATGGCCATTTCAAAAATATTAATTCTGCTTATCCAAGTATATGGGAAGTCTTTCCATTTTCATTGTAGAGGTCTTTTACCTCTTTTGTTAGATTGATTTCTAAGTATTTTATTTTTTTGAGGTTATTGTGAATGGAATTGTTTTCTGATTTCTATTTTATCTGATTCATCATTGGTGTACAGGAACACAATTGATTTATGGGTGTGCATTTTATATCCTGCTACTGTGCTGAATATGTTTATTAGTTTAAGAATCTGGTGAACTGTTTTGAGTCTATAGAGAATCATGTCATTGGCAAATAGATATAGTTTGAGCTCTTCTTCCTATTCATATCCCTTTACTTTTTTTTTTCTGTCTAATTGCTCTGGCTAGGGTTTCAAGGACTATGTTGAATAGAAGGTGCTGGGAAAACTGGACAGGCATCCCTGTCTTGTTTCAATTTTTAGAAAAAATGCTTCTGATTTTTCTCCATTTAGATTGATGTTTGTCTTAGGTTTAGCATATATAACTTTTACAATGTTGAGGTATGTTACTACTATCCCTAGTTTTACCAGTGTTTTGAACATAAATGGATGTTTTTTTTTGGTCAAATGTTTTTTCTGCATCTATTGAGATAATCATATGATACTTGTCTTTAAGTCTGTTGATGTGATGAATTACATTTATTGATTTCTGTGTGTTGAACTGGGCTTGCATCTCTGGAATGAACCCCACTTGATTGTGGTGTACTATCTTTTAAATAAGTTTTATATGTGATTGCCAGAATTTTGTTAAGACTTTTTGGCATCTTTGTTCATGTTGATCTGAAGTTTACTTTCTTTGATGTGCTTTGTTTGATTTTAGTATCAGGGTGATACTAGCTTCATAGAATGAGTTTGGAAGGGTTTACTCCTTTTCT